GGTTTAGGGTTTAGGGTTTTAAGGCAGATTGAAGTTTAGGGATGACTAGGGTTTGGGGTTTAAGGTTTAAGGTTTCGGTTTTAGGGTTTTTTTTTGGAGGGGGGCTTTGTAGCATGCTTTGGGATAAGGTCATGTGAAGGGTTTATCTGTAGCACTTGTGCGCCGTCTGGGAGTTTGCGATGCTTTGAATTGTCGGATTTGGTGTTTGCAGGTTTGGGGTCCGAGGGATTTTTGAGATTTCATCAACCGCTTAGAAGTTTATGATCTGAATCTGGAGTCTTGAGGGATGCAGTGATTTTCTGATACTCGATGTAAAGATTTGGTGGGGGCTCTAGCGGCTCGGAATGATGTCACAGCCATTGGTTCAGGGGCCTTAGTCAGTCTTCTAAGGATCAACATGGGAGCAGTGGTAGCAGCAGTAGCAGGGGGATTTGGAGTAGCAGTCGGGGTGGGAGTAGGAGTACGAGTTGGAGGAGGAGGACGTCGACTGAAGGGCTTGTTTGGAGCAAAGCTTGGATGTTTTGAGCATGGTTGTAGGGCAGATCTGCTTCGCTCCGCGTGCAAAAACTCGACGTCCTACTCTGCATCGGTGGGACTCTGCATTCACATGTGTTACTGTACCTTATTTCCTGAAGCTTACCATGCGATACACGAAAAACGCGTCATAGTTTCACCGGAGAGGAAGGAGACAGGCGTATGTGATATCAGCTTGGCAGTTTCCGTAGACATACGTGGACAGATGAACAACCCGTCGCCGCCGCAGCCGCACGCACATGCCACGGGCTCCTAAACGGAACAGCGAGCGCACAGGAGGCTTGAAGCGAGGCAACATGCCAGCCATGGCCAGGTATATAGAGAGAGTAAAGCCCAAGCCAAGCGCAACCCTAAACTCTGAACCATCAAACCTGGAAAGTCTGCTTCCGATGACATCCGAGTTCTGATTGCCGCGCCCTGAGAGCAGCAAGTTGGTTCTGGCTGGCATGAGCCTCAACACTAACGCTGGAAGCAGCATGCGAAGAATGAGAGCTTGAGCCAAACCAGGTATGCGCTTTAAATGAGTCCAATGCACTGCTTAACGCGGAATCAGAAGTCGCACTGCAACGCCCCGGTTCCGGGTAGATCTCTTGATTGGTTCTTTGTAATGTAGGGGCCTTAATAATAAGAATAGGATATTGGGGTATGTTATACTACAAATATAATAAAGAACCCCTCAAAATAGTAATTATAGGTAATTATTAAGACCCTAAACCCTAAACCCTAAACGGCCTCTATCTTAGAGGCCCCGGGTGTGAGTGTGATGAGCTTGCCTTGCAAGCCCTTTTGGTCTTTCAGAGAGGCGGCGGGACATCTGAAGTGATATGGTCCTCATTAATCCGGTTTTTGGGTTTAGGGTTTAGGGTTTAGGTTTAGGATTTAGGGTTTAGGCTTTAGGATTGGTCCTCATTAGTCTAAGTTGTCCTTTAAGCCCTTTGAAAATTATTTACTATCATGGTTCTCTACAAAATAGTACCGGAAATTATTAAAAAGATCCCAAAAGACAACCCAGTAATCAAAACCCCTAACTAAACAAACAAGGGGCCGCAATTTCACCAAGTCTCTCCATCCAAAAATTGCTTTCCAAACGCACAGTCGGAAAGTCCTAAAGCCGCCCAATATCCCTAGCCGACCCATCACCTGTTACGCCTTTGGCCCGTCCGCGACCCGTTTACAACAACCCTTTGAAACCAACTATAATTACATGCTTGACTGTAGGGAATCAGTTTGCTACCGTCTTATTCCTACCTCTCCATTAGAGAGTGCGCGGCTCTTTCGGAGCATCTTCTTTCTGACGCAGAGATCGGCTGACTCCTCGCACGAAACTCCATCTCCAGCCAGATCGGATCTAGAAAGTAGATCACTTCTTTGGCTGCCTTCCGGTAAAGAACCATCTAGAGTCGTCTAGTACTGCCTTAAACACCGCTGTAGACCCCGCAAACATTCCCTTTGCCCCAACATAATTGATGCTTCGACTTTCTAGATCCTTCTGTGTACCGCTTCAGGTAGTTCAGCACCTGCGACAAGAGGCTTAGGTCTTCCTTGAAAGGTGCTTTCGAGGCCACCTTTACTACTAATGTTGCTATGACTCATGCCATTCCAATTACCCCGAGAGCCCAATGCCGCTTCATTAAGGAATATACCTTAAATTATAATTAGTCATAATTATTCAGGCCCCCTATAATTCAAGGTATATTCCTTATGTAAGGGGTATTGGGCTCTCTGGGTATGGCTTCCTTCAAGCTTTTCTTTCCTTCTAAACCCTAAACCCTAAACCCTAAACCCTAAACCATTCAAAGCTCCTTCAGGATGAGAGTTCTGTAAGTGTTTAGGCCGCTGGGGCTCGGCGATGTCCAAACCATGCAAGCCGTACAGGTCACGGTTTCGGGTTTAGGGTTTAGGGTTTGGGGTTTAGGGTTTAGGGTTTGAGGTTCAGGGTTTATGGTCTGCGAAGCCAGGAGACCATTAGCAATAGACGGCGCGTAAAACTGCGGAGAACCACTCAAGACCACTCCTGGTCTTTCAACTTAAAGTAACAGACCGGATGCACGAGACCTGAAACCTAAACTCCTAAACCCGATATCCACAGGTTGTGCGACATTTGCACTCGCCAGCGTCTGCAGCTCGTGTGAGTGGGTGCAGTTGGCGCTGCGGGACTGCGGGTCTTATAGGCCCCGCAGGTGTAAGGCTGAGGGCATATGTATATATATATATATACACATGTATATTGCTCCTCGCTCTGTATAATATATGTATGGTCTCTTTGTGCGTATATACATACATATATATATATATATGTGTTTGCAACATCCATACATACATACATGCATACATACATACATACATAGATGCATACACACATACATACATACATACATACATACATACTACATACATACAGACATACATACACATACACATACTTGCAAATCTTACTTGCATACTTACGTACCGAAACGTGTACGTATACATACATACATATGTATACATATATATATATATATGTCTACTACAGTCTTGATATATACATGTATAGTTCTTAGATACGAGTTTAGGGTTTAGGGTGGTTTCCCAGAAGGTCCATACAGAGGTAACTATATCCACAATTACCTACAGCCGTATTACAGCCATAGCTACAAGTACGCAAGTATGCATAGCGGTGTGGCCTTAGTTGCTATTTTCCCTGCCTCCAGCTACGCCTACAACCTCTTAATCCCCATACCTCTGAAGCCCTAAATAATTACAATACTATTTTGGGGGGGTTCTTTGTTATAATTAAAGCATAATGGGCCTCAAAACCCTATTCTAATTATTAAGGCCCCTACATTCGACCTTTCATGCTGAACCTAAACACCATGACCCCAAATCCCTCAAGTGCCTGAAGGACGCGGGAGACTGACCGAGGGCATGGAGCCTCAGGAGACGCGGTTGGCTTTAAGGCTTTGGGTTTAGGGGTTTAGGTGTTTCAAGGTTTATGGCGGTAGGGCTTTCCGTTTAGGGTTTCGGGTTGAGGGGTTTAGGCGTTTCAGGGTGTTTAGAGTGTTGGGTTATCGGTATTAGTACATGCTAGTACCATGTAGGGCATGGGGTTTCAGGGTTTACAAGGGTTTGAGGATTTCCGGTCTTTGCTAATTTTCCAGCTTGAGGAGTTCAGCTTTTTGTCGCAACCAAATTCGGGCTTTTGTTACAAGTTCTGGAGCTAAGTAACACAGGGTTTGGGGTGTTTATTATGTGTATATATGTATACGAAACGAGTATTCCATGAAAAAAAGATGCAGCAAGGTTGGTAGTACTGCCGGACCCCGAATGACACGTGAACTATTCACTCACCCATATTCCCAAGGAGCCCTGTGGAAGCTCATCAGAACCAACTATCAATAAGACTTTCGAGGGTTTATGTGCTGCAGACCAGGTAAGTTAACGTGTGCGAAAAATGTCACGCTGGGTGCAAGCGTAGAATGGAAAAGAGCAGTGTGGCTATTAAAATGCACGGTAGAAATATGGAGGTAGGGTCAAACCGAAGCAGGCACTAGCTTCATAAAAGTACCGACCAATAGCACAGAAGAAAGTATAATGCAGCACGATCACCACATACGCATGCCTGTACCTACGTGTAAGCTTCGATGTATGCGTATGTATGAAAGTATATGTAAAACACTTTATCTGTGTCTCTATTCGTACACATATGTACTTATGTGTGTGTGTGTGCATGTAGGTAGGTAGCTAGGTAGCTAGGTAGCTAGGTAGCTAGGTAGCTAGGTAGCTAGGTAGCTAGGTAGCTAGGTAGGTAGCTAGGTNNGTCGGTCGGTCGGTCGGTGGGTCGGTGGGGTCGGTCGGTGCGTGTGTGTGTGTGTGGGTCGGTCCGTGGGTAGGTGGGTAGGTGGGTAGGTGGGTAGGTGGGTAGGTGTTGGTAGGTGGGTTGGTGGGTTGGTGGGTTGGTAGGTTGGTGGGTAGGTGCCGGTAGGTAGGTAGGTAGGTAGGTAGGTAGGTAGGTGGGTAGGTAGGTAGGTAGGTAGGTAGGTAGTGTTGTAGGTAGTTTTGTAGGTGGGTAGGTAAGTATGGGTAGGTACGTACGTATGTATGTGTACGTATACGCAGTACTGCCCTGAAGTAGAAACTCATGAGAGGCACGAGTTGTCACCTTGTAGTACTACGAACCAAGTCTCACAACGACGAGATAGGATCATATTCCGCGACGGTTGCAAGAAACTGAAGGAGACATAGAATACGTATGCCAAAGCACATTCCTGAGAAACGGATCCGGTAAGTGTACTCCGCTACGTTCCATCCGGCTACAGTCCGGCATTCATGGACAACCCTAAGCTGCCCCAAACCCCAAACTCCTAAACCCTAAATTCCGTGTGCCGTGTAGGAGTGGAGCTTCGAATGCTCAAGGTGACTGCTGAGTGTTGGTACACCCCAAAATCTAGACTGAACCCGTCAATGTGCCTTCGTGTTCTTGGATGTTTTGGCAGGACTAAACCCTAAGCCCCTACATAAACCCTAAACTGCTGACAGCAACTGTTGGTTTCGCCGGGCGGGAGTCACGTTATCTAGGGCCTCACAAGTAGACTGGGGTTTGGGGCCGAGGGTTGTTTTGTAGCTACAGAAGGAACCCTTTAAACCCCCAAAGCCCCAAAAGCACGCATGCTGGGCTTGCAGACTCCTCCGGACTCACCGGATGCATAGTGACAGTGTTGACTTGGCAGGCCTCGCCATGTTTCTATGCTTATTTTAGGGTTTCGGCTCCGAAGCGTCGGAGTGTGGTTTTGCGGATAAATGCATCGGCCAAGTGTTCTAATGATGATCACGCCATAGTACAGAAGCCTGAACAAGCCGTAGCAATCTCCCCTAATCCATATAGAATTGGTATTTGGCCCAACTATGTCCCGACCCCTCGTTCTACCTATTCAGACCTCGATTGTACATGCGTCAGAAGTTTGAGCACTACATGTTCGGGGTGTGGGGCGTTTCTGGGATCTGAGGCGCTTCGTAGGGCACCGGACTAGCTGACATTTGCCCGACGTAAAAGTTCAGGTGGACACCACTGTTCCAAATCCAAGAATCAAACACGACAACAGAGGACCAGACTGTCCAAGTCACGTGATGTTGAGGCCGGCAGAATTGCACAACTATTCCTTAGGGTTCCGTATTACAAGATATTACATATTACAAGTCTACTCTGCGGTACTCACAAACCCTACTCAGGTGATAAAGGCCCCTATACTAAGAGCCCTAGTATGTGGTTCATGTAGTTGCCTTAATAATTGGAATGGGGTTGTGGGGTTTTGGGGTAGATTATACTATAATCATACCGGGGAGCCCATAACATATTGAAGGTAAACCCTAAACCCTAAACCGAAGTAGTCAGGCCCCCACAGTACAGATCAAGGCCCTGGCCAGCCCATGATCACTTCGAGCATGGGCGCCCTGCCTCAGGAGGGACCGCTTCCTGGTTCTATAGGGGTCTGAAAGTTTAGGGTTTAGAAGGGTTTAGGGTTTAGAGTTCAGGGTTTCGGGAAATGTGACTTGTAGCAGGGATCGTAGACACTTTACGCGGTTATAGATGAGGCTTCTACGAACTGTATGCTGGCTTCCCTCTAGAAGCGTCCAGCTTTCCATGTGGGGCGTTCAGTTGAGCTTTGTTTTTGTGTTTTGGGTTATGCGGTTAAGCAGGCGTTTCGGTTTTGGGGCCATGAAATGCAAGTTGTCACACGCAGCAGTTTCACAAGAAGCCATAATTTAATATGTATTTGTGTAGTTAGAAAACTAGATTACATTATAGTTTATTATACATTCTGTATTTAATTACAGTAACAAAAAGTCAAGCTATAGCACAACCAACAAAGGGACAAGCAGTAACAAGAGACTCAAGACCTGTGATAGCAACGAACCCCCCGTTCGTGAAATTGACAGTTTGCCATTAGCTGTAGCCCTAAACCCCAAACCCTAAACCCTAAACCGAGACTTGGCTCCCAACAGCTGCCGGCGCTCCACGGCAAAGGCATGCATCCACGCACTGATGCCTCGGCCACGGCTTGCTATTCGATTGATGACCTCTGAAACTTGTCCACAAATTAAGACATCGTCGGTCTGTTTGTAATCCCCCAAACTTCACTCTCTCTCTCTCTCTCTGACCTCACATGTTTCCAAAAGAGACCTAATATCGTTTTAACGTCTTCAAAAACCCTTTAAATCCGTTACCACGTGAACCATAGTCCGAAACCCTGAGCCCTTGTGCCAGAAAGAATGAACAAGTCCCAGACACCCAAAGCCCAAGCTGTTATCTGAAAAACTAGCAACCCCTACTCCCAAACCCTCAACCCTAATCCATCAAACCCGCAGCACTTAGTCACTGATCCCCAACCGATCCTTTCACCCAAACACTGCGTTAGAACCCTGGTCCACAAACCTTTATCTTGCAACCGGCACTAACATGTAAGTGGTACCAACAAGTATTTAAAGTTTTAGAGGGCAATG